ATCTACACTTCCAGACCCCCAAACTATAGAATCATTCCTTACTTACTACAAAAAGATTATATATACAACTAACAAACATCAATATAAGATAATTATCTCTATTAAAAAGACTATAGTGAAGCTCATATATACCTCCCTAATGAGCTTGAACCCCTAAAAGACTACACTATTTTACAAGCAGACTAATATCCAATATATTATTAAACACCATTAAGATCTTACCCTAAATACTTAATATCTAATACTTTATCAGACCTCTTTATATCAGATCTAGCATCTACACCTGAACCTTTTTCAATAGAATCCCATAATAATATATAGCTATCATCACACTTTACAACAAGAGCTTCAACCAATGCCTCTTCTAACACAAATCATCTAACAAACTCAAACAACAAACCTCAAACCCAACCACTTAATCTATCCATTTGTACACAGAATGTATATAGATATAATACAGATTTAAAGCAACAAGTTTGGGAGGATTATTGTCTATCCCACAACCTTAATATTATAAGCATTACTGAAACCAAAATCACTCAATCAAATGCTCTTCATTAGTCTTATATGGATTAAAAATAAATGGATTAGTTAATTGTTCATTTATATTATTTTCAACTTCAGTTACTTTTTTTTTTTAAACTTTAGATAATTTTGGCAATCGAAATCCGCATCTTGGACATATTTTCTTTCAGTTCTCAATATTTTGCTGATCGCAGTTAGGGCACACTTTTATGCTGGAAATGTTAGTTACTATATATACTATTGAATCGATAAGATTAATAGATAATAATTTTTCTTTAGACAACAAATTAAGAATATTAGCCAAATAGATATGCAATTCTTTGTCAAGAACTTCCTGCATTCGAGAGCTAATATCAAAAAGTTCTTTGTATTGTAACCTATTAAGAAAATTATACATCCAAGGCGAATTAGTATACTGAAGCTTGTTTTGCAATGCTATATTAAAAATGATGAAACTAGTAACAGTATAGTAAATGATTGTATTAAATTCTTGATCTAAATAATTTTTTTGTTCACATTGTTCATTATCAAATGTGAGAAACAAGAGACCTTCAGGCAATAGCTCTTCATTTTTTGATAAATTATCTAGCCATTTTTGAAACCAGGAATAATCTTCCAAGCTTGAAATATGATTATCAATATTGACAATTATCCTTGACCACGCAATTGAATACTTGATAGCTGAGATAGCAAGATGAACTTCTGATACATATTTTCCATATCGTGCTTCATATATCAAATCAATAGTTGCAGCAGTCTTAAAAAGCTTTTTACAGCTTATAATATTAGCATCTTGATTATTCTGAATAAGGATTTCTATAAATATAACAACGACCTGGTTACGTTTGTTGAGCCATTCATGTAGACTATATATTATAAGATTCTCTATAAAAAACCTATAATTATTCTAAATTAATGATGAAATATCATTAAATACTGATATACACTCCGCTTTTGCTATTTCAACTATCACATCGATATGATTTTGTTGAGTAATAAATTTTGAATTCTACTGTTCAATAAGAAGTTGGTTGTGTCTATATTGTTTATCATATAAATTCTGAATGTCAAACATATTATCATAAGCTTTCTGTAATTGGTCTTTTAATTTTTTTATTTTAACTTTTTGATCCTCTATATACTGCTGCATTTGTGCAATTTGATTACTAAGATCTATTACTAACTCTGACTGCTTCTGGTTTTTTAATTATACAATTTTCAAAAGCCGTTTAGTTTCTTAAGGGTAGGGTGAATGTAGATCAATTTTAATAGTAATCACGTTACAAATCATATGATATCATTAATTTGACCAATCAAAATTGTAAACAATAGAAATCTGGCCAATAAGAATTAGCAATTTTTGTGTTATCTGAGTAAATTTCAATCTTTCTGAGTGAATTTAACGATATATAGAAGTAGTTTTTTTTAAATGATATAAGGACCAAAACTTTTATTATCATAAAGAAAAAGTTTTAATCTATATATTATGAAGTTTTGGTAAAGTTTAGTTGCGGCCTTAAAAACTTTTACTAATAGTATATACTTAATTTTGGTATAAAAAATTTTTAGTATATGAGATCATATGACAAATGATCTACATTCACCCTACCCTTAAGCTTAGCTACAGAATCAACACAAACATTTGGATTATCTTTATTAACATCGAGTCAAGTTCTTTTGCTTTTTTAAGTAGAATCTACAAAATGCTCATAAAATTAGTTATTTGATACAATTTGATTATAATGCAACAAACAAAGAGAATATATTTCTAAAGATAAACTAGACAATTCAGGAATGTAATCATAAAAGCACTCAAGTCATCTAGCTGCTTTAGGGCCATCTGCTGCCACCATTTTTGTAGTTCGCTCAAGCCACAAGGACTTAATCTGATTTCTTCATATGTTTTAACTAAGTCTGCAAATATGCATTTCATATCTTTCGCTTTTTGTTTTTTGTTATTAAACACTAAATAAAAGTTATTTCAAATGCTAGTTTAGTAAAAAGAATAATTTTTTTCAACCAACAATCTAAAAAATGCTTATAACTTTAAGGTCTCATTTACTTTTTTTAAACTGGCTTATTGTTAGAGATTAACTAGGATTAACTCAATTAGGTGCTTTATATTAACTATTTATATATCGTTTGATATCAAATGAATAGATAAGATATTGTGAAAGCTCACGACGAGTACGGGTATAAAAAAATATGACACAGCCAATCAGATTTACAGAAATCTAGAAATTTTTCTAGAAGGTGATTTCCTAATTTAGTAAAATCCCTGACTGTAATATAGTTTCTATATTGGAATTAAGAAAAAGCACCCAAACTCAAAAGCAAAATTTTAATATATGAATTAAAATCATCAGTCTGAAAAAATAGAGTGTAAACATTAAAACCAATGGAATTGAATTATCCAACAAGTCTTTAAGTACCAAGTATTCCATATCCTTATATCATCTAAATTTTATTCCAACCATCTTTGCAATTTCTTGCTATATGCTACATAAAAGTTCTAATAATAGATTAATGTGCCATGGTTTTGGTTTTTGAGAGAGGGTATTTTTTTTTAATCGAATATGTATTCGTACATTTCAGAAAAAAATGGTTAGTATTGAAGAAATACTAGCTCACAACTATTCAACAAAATATAGAGAGAACCTATTATTAGAATAAATAACAGAATTTTATTAGTAATTTCAGAAAAACTATCATAAACAAGATACTGTGATATGGCCGTTCTTAAATTTATTTGGCCAGGCCAATCAGCCACAATGGGAATAACATTGCCATCTTCAATATATTTATTTATTGAAGAAACGGATGCAACAGCATTAATAACCTTAATGTAATCTTCTATTAAATGAAGATTACTATACAATAGATCTATAAGTACAGTGTCTTTGATTGATCTTGTGCTTTGTTTTTCTTTTAATCAAACATCATAATTATGAACTATTAATTCCTCAAGCTTGGTTTTATCATCAACAGAGTGAAATCCCCAATATCGGTTATAAGATAGTGAATATATTGATATAAAATAATTTTCAATTTTAGTCTTAACTAACATAACATCAACTAATATAAAGTTGTGAATTTCTCACCTTGGTATTGCTAGTCAAGCCTTAATCAGATTAAGTAAAATTGTGACAAGATATATTAAAGTAAATGTCTCAGTTGTAGTAGACATTTTTATAGAATGAATACTATAATAATTGTCAATATTTAAAAGTAATGCAGTATTAGAACTATTTTCAAGATTGGTTTCTACAGTTATTGAATGTTTTTCAAATACAGATTCCTTATAATAAGTAATTGAACAGAATGTCATTGTCAAGCCCAATACCGCTAAAGTATCAATCATTAAATTAGGTGTTTTTGTAGAATCTAAATACATTCCTAAATCTTTTTTTGCATTGTTAACAAACTTATTTCTAATATCACAAAGAAAGTAACATAAGAATACTAATTGTTTTGATACTTTTTCTCTTGTATTTTTACTTTTTCTCAATGGGTTAGTCGATAAGTATAATTCATCAAAGAAAGACTCCAACTGTTAATCTTTTAATTCCAAATTGCACAAAGTTCAAATAGTTAAAAACCCCATATGCTCTCTCTTATAAAAAACATCTGTAATTATTCCTACAGCTTGAGAAAAAGACAAAATATTATTAGAAGTTTTTGCAGCATCAACATAAATCTCTGGCTCACTATTATGAGACTGTTCTAATGCATGTTGCTGAAATTCAACTGCACTTCTTGTTATGATTTCATTGTAGCAGTTCAAGCATATAACATCATCTAGTTGAAGATAATTTAGCAAACTATTATTAGTTTTGCCTTTGAAAATAACATGTTCCGTTACCGTTTTCCATCTTTTTGACATTTGTGTTTTGCATTTAGTAATTGCATATAGACCAGTAAATGGCATTTTGTCCTCTAAGTAAAGTATGTGGGTTTTGAGATTTTTTTGTGATTCTTTTGCACAGTGAATTCTGACACTTTCTAAAGCTAATAATAAGGTTTGCAGTAATTTTTTGCTAGTGAAATGTCACGTTCTCAAAAAGTACTTTAAACTATATAAATTAGTTACCCAAGTAATTGATTTACGTTAGCCAATCAGACAAATTTCCTCCTATGACCATTATCATTGATTGCATCTTCCATGCTTATTTCCCCTTTCAAAAACTGTCGTACTGTAAGAAGTGTCTATGAAAGTAAAATAAGTATTAGTAATGAAATGCATTTGTATGCCTTGTAAAGATACCTCCAAATAAATGCCTATCCTTGCAATTTTAGCTAGAAACCATCATTCCGTATATGACGTTGGGATTTTGCACTTAAATATTTCAAATATCCTATACGTTTTCATACAAATAAGGTCTGTGAGATAAATTGCAATGAAATATTCTAAAAGCATAGAAGTTAGGTAAGTCTTATCAAAATGACCCATTAATGCAAAAAAAAAAGAAAAACACCTATAACCATGGATGCTGATGGATTTGAATTTTTTTAGCTATTGTAATGGAAGATTTTTCATATTGTAAGAAGTGATAATTTAGATCATCAACTCCATTACGTGCCAGTTTCATTATATCCCCTATATGATGTGTTGCGTCAAATTCTGTAGGTCCAAAGGACTGTTCATATATATTGTAGCATTGTTGTCCTGATATAAGACAGCGTCATTCTTGTCACTTCTCCTTGAATTTGACGGTTTTTGATCAGTATTAATATTATAAACTCTATCTTTGTGTGCCTCATTTACGATTTCTCTACTAAAAATCAAAAATAATGTTAATTTATCATAAAAGAAACAGGCAATTCCTGATGTCAAATTTCTAAAAAACATCCAAAATTCGATAGACCATTTGGTTAAACCAAGTTTTTTCGTCGCCGTCTGTTTGCAAACCACTATAGTAGTAGTAAAATAGAAAGTGCCTACATACTTCTCTTGTCCATAACATCAATGGCCGTGCGGCCTCATCAAGTGGTTTCTCTACTTTCGACAATGCATTTAAAATATCTCCGCTAAGCAAACAATGAAGATATTCCTTGATATCTTCAGGGAGATCAATCTCAACAGTAGTGTTTTTGGCTATCATCTCGAACCGGTCCTCCGCGTCTGTTTCTGATAATCGTCTGAACGGCTCGCATAAAACATATATATTTCGATTTCTAATGTTATCAAAAAGTTCATTGATTTTGTTTTTCTTTACAATATTTGTTTCGACCACAACCTACATACAGTAATAGATGCCCATTCATTTGTGGAATATGCTATAGATAGGAGGCGAACTTTGAGTTATTACCTTTTTCGTGAGAGACAATGAGCTTGTATGATCCTTATCTGTAACATCTTTTCATTTTTTTTCTGAGGTCCTTGCACTGTAAAAGCCGTCATCAATTTTATATTCATGATCCACTAAAGAGTTGATGATTTCCTGCTTTACATGATTGTTGATACTGCGTAATGTTTTATTTATTTTGTTGCGACAGTAGCAATGCTAAATATTGCTCTGCCTATTCATAGAAAACAAAGAAGGGACCAGAATTAAAAGATCAGAAATTTATAAATGAAGGTTGAAGGGAAACACTTTCCATTACCTGTAATTCACAAACTTTTGTAATAACTTTTGCTTCTTCTAAGTTTGCATGTCTCTCAATCATCGCGCTAGTCCAAAACTCATAAATGCATCCACCAGGACCTGAACCACTCTGTATAGGAACCATAAAAAATTTTTAATAGATTCTTTAATTAACAATCAGATCTAGGTAGTCACACTTCTGTAAGTTCATGAAAAATATATTGGAGGAACCGTAGTTCATCGCCACTCAAGAACCATAGTCTAGTGGTTTTTCTCAATCACAGTTGTGACAGGGTGAAACCGTAGTCCATACATGGGCAGGAACCATAGTCCCCCATGCTCCCTGTCACAACCGCCATGTAATTCGCAAAAGCATGACCTTACTTTAAATTGTTGCAACATCCTTTTTGCTAATTTCTTTTCTTCTTCCAAACCCTCATTTTCAAACTAGTCAAGTTGCTTGTAAAGTGACATTGTAACCTTCGCCTTGTTCATTGGAAGTTTAGATGTACGCCATTCTTCATGATACTCAAGCGCATCTCAAGCTTCACAGAGTGTTGTGAGGAAATAGGAAAAACCTGGTTTCTCGTTAATTTCATTTTTTGACATGCCTTCAGAGATTAGTAGACATAAATTAGAATCTGTCCCAAAAAGATGACTCATGCGACAATTTAGTATGCGTGGTTCAATTTATACGTAATAAGTAAATTACCTATGTACGTACGTATGTGCCAGCGGGATTTTGTACCAAACCCATTTAAAAGAACTTTTGAATATTTTGATTACGACATTTAACCATTTAGTTAAATGTTATAACGATAATTGCAGATTATCAACAGATCCACCTCAGATGAACTACGTCAATATGCGAGCATCTACATAGAATACATAGATACCAGCTTTTTTTTCACCTAAAATTCTCTTTATAGAAATTTAGTGTTCTTTAAGGAATTATTTAGGAAATCAAGTTTCACAGATTAACTTTCTTAGAAAATAGGAGGTTTCACAAAATTAAAATTAGGAAATAGGAGGTTTCGCAAAATTAAAATTAGAAAATAGAAGGTTTTACAAAATTAAACCGATTGTACATATAAAAAATAAAATAAAACAAGATTTTGCATGATGTGACAAAGTATAGTTGGGTGTTTATTAGTGTCGTAAGTAATATAGTATATAAAACATTATGCATTAGTAGACTTTGTATAATTGGCAGTTTAAATCAATTTAATTTTACATTATATGAAGAATAAATAAAAAAGAAGTATATAGAAAGTTTATTAAGGTTGTAAGATTACGCAATAAAAAATAATTGTTGCAGATCATAATGAAATCAGATCATTGTGAAATTTAGGGGTCTCAATTTAAAGATATAAGCTCTACCAAAATCTACCTATACTCTTTTCCTAATAATTCTAACCCTAAACCCTAACTTAACTATAAAAAAAAACCTAACTAAAAAGGTCCCAAAAATTTTTAAAAATCATACATAAAATAAGTTAAATTTCATTATGATCTGATTTCATTATGATCTGCCACAATAATTAAAATATCTTTTTGTTTTAGAGAAATTAGTATAGTAATAATTTAATCTTATTTATTTTTAAGATGTTGCTATTATGCTAGCTTCTCTAAAATCAGAAATGATTTTGATTATTTTTAATAGTTAAGCTATATAAATTTAATAAAACTTTTATATATTTTTTTTTGTTTACTGTTTGTAGTCTTATTTTTTTTAAAAAGCATTTTAAATTGTATAAATAATATAAAATCAAATTGATTTAGACTGCTAATTATAAGAAAATTTTTCTATAGTATTGGTAGTTATTTACTTGTGATGAATAATATTATATAATTTTGATAGTGGTGTTAATAGTTATATAGTATAAGGAAAAAAGCAAAAAAAATTAAATAGCTAATTAGATTAATTTATTACAAGTAAATAAAAAATATAGAATGCTGCATATTAGATTGATTAGGTTATACAAAAATAATTTTTTGGTTTTTATAATATAAAATTTGAAAAATAACCTAGCAACCCAGCTTTTAATTTTATTTTTCCAAAAATTTTATATATAAAATGCATATAGAACTTTTTATAGACTTTTGAAAAACTTTACCTGAATAGTAAATATAGTCAAAAATTTTTTTAAAAATTTTGCGAAATTTGATCTAGCCAGATTATAAACACCAATTTATTAAGTTTGTATGGCCTTATATTAGAGTTATAATAAATATTTTAGTAAGGAATTTTTTTAAAAGTAATACTATCTGTTATTAATAAAAATATTGAAATTAGAAATGATATTTAGCATAAACTTTGTAGACTATTTCTGTAAACTATTTGTAGTCTTTTGTATTTATTTAAGGCAGCTTTAGGATGTTTATTTTTTTTTTATAGTCAAGTTTAGCCTTTTTGGCTTATTACTTTTATTAGATTATAGAATTATATGATGCATTTTTAAAAGGCCTCAGACAAATACATTCTGATAAGAGTACATTTTAGCTATACCTGCACCTTTTGAGTACCTAATTTAAGTAGTCTGCCTATTATTAGATTCTATACTAGATGCTGTATCTATAACCCATCTATAATTGGATTACTCAATTAAACTTTTTGATCTGAGTTTCCTATATCAATTTATCTAATCTCACACAGAATATATAATCTATTAGTTAGTCCAAATTCTGAAATCATTGTATTTATCTATAAAACTACTGGCTTGGTTAACTGATTCATCCTTGAGTATATCATTCTGCTAGAGCAGTCCAGTACCCACTATTACTATATTATCTAGTCTTTTTCAAATAGGTTTTATCAAATAGGTTTTATATCTTTATGTACAGACTATATTATTAATTCCTTTCTGCAAATAAGTTTGTTAAATAGGTTTTAAGCCTTTATAAGCAGGCCATACTACCAAATCTCTTAGTAGAGTTAATATCTTACTATATTTTATATTCAGATTAATCTGAATATAAAATAAATACAGATTTAAATTACTATGTTTTACTATAATTTTTGACAAAATATTAATCCAGATATAAATATATTTGAATTGAAGTATTAACTCTACCTCCTAGCCCTTGTAGAATTTACTCAAACTCTGGTATCTTTTTTTCAAAACAATCTGGTACCTTTCCTTTCATTACTTTCTAGCTAATCTCTTCATACTATCAATTCAGATAGCCTGAAAAAAACACCAGTCTTGTTGTATCTATTGATCTTTTCTTTCAATTGATGCTTATGCTGGCAGTCTGGTTAATAAAGCAATTTGTCAAGTACTCTTGCCATGTCTAGTTAACTAGCCTCAAATGAAGCTTATTCTAGTAGCTACTAATGAAAGTCTGTGCTACATCTCTACTTGAGTCTTGCCAAGTGGATATTCATCTTTCTGGTTTCTTGAATTAATATAATCACAAGAACTTATTTTGGATTTGTACCACCTAATATCAGCTTGTATGTCTTCATATAACTTATGCATTGCACCAATGCATCATGATCTCCCAAACTTGTTGGTGCCACCAAGGTTATAGAGATTCTGTTCTAACTGATTGTTGAAAGATAGTAGCCATTATATAAGCAAAATATTTGAAATTTTGCTATCAGTGGTTTTGAACCCCTATCTGCCAATATGCGACTTAAAAATATAACAACTTAACTACTTCACTAAATCACTACACTCTGGCTTTAGGATGGTTAATATAGTTTTTATCTAAATTTAAAATATAAAAATTTTCTCAAAAAGTTGTCATACTTGTCATGACATATGCTTGTCCTTCAGCAAATATATGATTATTAACAACCATTATCATATAAGGTAATATTAAGTATTGTACTTTATAGATAGTAAAAACAAAGGTATTTTGAAGTAAAAATTATTGTCAAGAAGCTAGGTTACTATTAATCTTGAAGTAGTTGGTTTCTTTTTATATAATAATTTTATTTATATTAGTAAAAGTAGAGAAGGTGACTTCTATATTATAGTTATCAATTATTTTAGTCACAACACCAATCAAACCATTGCAAATATCTTTGTCAAACAGTTTGTTATTCAAAAACATCACTTAGGCACCTTCTTGTAAATACTATATATAGGTCTAAGTAAGTTTGCTAAATATTTAAATTAGTAAATAAAATGTGATTTGTCTAGAATTTTATAATTAAGAATATTTTTAAATAGTAAAATAATCAGATCAATACAGTTATTATTAAATGATAAACAACTACAAAACAATATATTGATTTTATGCACTGCTTGACAAATACTAATAACATAGATAGTATTATAAAATTTGTTAATATTAATTTTAAAGTTAATTTTTGATTGAATTATATGTCTACTTTTATTGGATAAGTGTTCTATATGAATTTCTTGCAAAATATTATAGAAGTTAGTGTCATTACATTGTTGTTAAAGTATAGTTAAAATAAAAAAATTTTTTCCAAGCAGAAAATTAGAAAACATAGATCAGTCAAATGAAAAATAGTTAAATTAGATCACCTGCTAGTAATGTTGATATATACTTGGCCAATGCCATTAGTTGCATCTGAAATAGATTTGAGTGTGTTGTCAATTTCATTATTACTAATATCCATATCAACTTCCTCTTTAATATCAAAAATATCATCAATATTCGAAATTGCTATTATAAATGAGAAATACAAATAATAGTATAGTTTAAAGTAGGTATTTATTTCAATTAAAAATTTTACACAATGCAGTAAATTTTTACAATAATATTAAATAAAATTGGTGAAATATATTTAATTGTTCACATGAAATTATTTATTAAAAAATTTGAAAGCACTAAAACTCATCTAAAAGCAAAATGTTATATTAAACAAAAAAAAGAATTGTTTAAAAAAAATAAATAAAATAAAAAAAATTGAATCAATATATAATTATTCGAAAATAATATTTGAGAAATAATTTATTCTTTAATTGCGGCACATAAGAAATTTTTTAGCCACCCTGATCAGTGATATAAATGGTTTCGTCCAATGGAAATCGATATTTGTCTTTGTCCAATGGGAAGTGGGGGGAAATTAAAATTCTGTGACGTCAAATCAGATTACAAAAATCGGGTTAAAAATCTTTCTCAAAACTCTGCATAATAAACCACCTTTAGTGCTCTAACAAAAAG